CACATTACACCATGGGTAACAAGATCACATTACACCACAGGTAACAAGATCACATTACACCATGGGTAACAAGATCACATTACACCAAGGGTAACAAGATCAAATTACACCATGAGTAACAAGATCACATTACACCATGGTAACAAGATTACATTACACCATGGGTAACAAGATCACATTACACCACAGGTAACAAGATCACATTACACCACGGGTAACAAAATCACATTACACCATGGGTAACAAGATCACATTACACCACGGGTAACAAGATCACATTACAACACGGGTAATAAGATTACATAACACCATGGGTAACAATATGTAGTGAGTGATGAGAAACACATATTAAATAGGCATGGATGGGTTTTGAAACTATAGTAGCCATTATCTATCTTAAAATTGGCCTAGAATTTATAATATATGTCTCACACACGAATAAACAAGTGGCATTTGAGTACAAAAGGAATGTTAATGCCTGTGTCAGTACAAAATGCAAACACTAATCTAGAAACCAGTCAGTGGCTGGGCAAAACATAAAATACCAGCTACAAAAATATGTATACATGTTAACATACAGTGGCATTCAAACATTTTGGGGAATCCCCACATTTCCATTTTTTTCTCTTTCAAGCAAAAATACATTAACAAGGTTTCTTTTGAAAGAGTGACCTTTAACCCTGATACTAACATACACCCATGCATAAAGTCCAATCTGCCTGACATTAAGAATTAACAGAAATATTTACATAAATTATAGTTATTTTATCAAACTATTTGTAGGAATTGAATAACAATAAAAACATAATTAATACATGTACATATATGACCTAATTTGCTATAACCAAGAGCTACCATATGTATTCAAATCAACAAGTGTCTGTGTGTCCATTCAGTTGGCATACAATGTAAATGTTGAAATTATTTTCTAATAACAGGATGGGAAAATAAATAGATTCTAGCAGGTTACCTTAAATCAAAACATAATCTGAATATTTCATCAATATTTGCTTTAATATTAGGCAAATAATAATAACTACTACAGATGATATTTGCATTTTAGCAGTTGACACAACTCTTTTTCAGTTTTAAAAACACTAATAATCTTCTATTGAGCACTATGTTGATGAGTCTGACAAGAGGACAGTAAGTTGAATTAAAAAATGACAATTTATAAGTTATTTATAGCAATAGTAGCCTTGAGCACGATAAGAATGTGACATTTTATAGACATATAATTAGGTCACATACAAATGTACGCAGCTAACTAATATGTTCAACTTTTATAAATTAACAAATTTTTTTTTTTTAATTGCTGTTTGAATGTGAAATTAATTTTATTTTTTTTGATAGCATTACAGACTGACACAATTGTGCATTAATACTACAATCACTGGCACTCAAAGCTATGTCTGTTAATGAATAACAGGTGCCAATGTATACCCATTGTTACTTCATCTGAATGCATTGTCTAATCATTCATGAATTCACCAACACATGTTGACACGACCTCAATTCAAACTTTAATATCAAGCATGTCAAGGCAAACACTTGAAACGTCACACACTCAAATGTAGTATTCTGATTGGCCAGATTGACAGAGATGTCATTCATATATTTGTGAGATAGATTTTCTGTAGTAGCGTGTGAATGTGATTTAAAATATAGCACAGAAAAACAGTATTAAAAATGTCTAAAATTATATTGATAGTAAAATATATTATTAATAAAGATACTTTAGATTCAATGGTATGTTCAAACACCCCTCCGTAATCTAAGTTTGTTTGTTTACCATATCTTATGGAATGCTAGACCTGATGGTTGGACTACTATTATGGTATCAATAAAGCATTACCACAAAATTAAATAGAATTTTCATACATATCCGTTTTATTCGTTGCTATAAACATTGCTCATCTTAGAAAACTACCATTACATATTTTCACCCTGAATCAATGATGTCGGGTAATACCTATGCATTGGCAGACTAATACAATTCTGTTCACCAATAACCAAACAGTGGCTGTTGTCATAGCAACTATATTTTATTATGATCACCATATTGGCTGTAATAATATTACTGCCCCATAATTTTGCTAATTGCATTCAAGATAGTAGAATCAAGAACCAATCAGAAATCATGTTGCAGTACACTTTATATCCAGGTGCAGGTGGTTGTGGCTGGTATATGGAGGTGGTTGTGGTTGGTATATAGAGGTGGCTGTGGCTGGTACATAGGGGTGGTTGTGGCTGGTACATAAAGGTGGTTGTGGCTGGTATATATAAGTGGTTGTGGCTGGTATATAGAGGTGGTTGTGGCTGGTATATATAGGTGGTTGTGGCTGGTATATAGAGGTGGTTGTGGCTGGTATATAGAGGTGGTTGTGGCTGGTATATGAAGGTGGTTCTGGCTGGTATATAGAGGTGGTTCTGGCTGGTATATAGAGGTGGTTGTGGCTGGTATATAGAGGTGGTTGTGGCTGGTATATATAGGTGGTTGTGGCTGGTATATAGAGTGGTTGTGGCTGGTATATAGAGGTGGTTGTGGCTGGTATATAGAGGTGGTTGTGGCTGGTATATAGAGGTGGTTGTGGCTGGTATATAGAGGTGGCTGTGGCTGGTACATAGGGGTGGTTGTGGCTGGTATATAGA